AGAGCGAGAGAGGGGATGCGTTAATTGTATTACTAAACGACCTTTTTCCTTGTTTGCTTTTTAATATTTTTTTTTCCTTTTCATTTTCTCATGGTTCTATATAGGTATGCTGTTTTGTTTCTTTTTCGGTTGCTGCTTTGGTTTGATTTAAATGTTGTTCTTGTTTTTCCTCCTTCTTCTCCTTTTCCATTCTGTACCGACAAAAAGGGAGGAAAAAATCCTTTTTTATATATTATTATTACAAAGGACGTCATCGAAATGTCAACCTTTGACGATCTCTTGGGTGTCCTTTCAAGGAAAGGCACAAATACTGTGCACTGGTGCAGCGAGCAATTGGGGGATGACCAGCTTGAGATTCTTATTGCTGCCATGGAGATTTCTTCCATTCCTGTTGAGCACATTGATCTTTCACGGAATGAAATAACTTCAGAGGGGGCCAAATTACTTGCGCGTTTTCTTCAAAAATCGCCCCAAGTAAAGGAGTTGGGACTTGCAAACAACAAAATTTCTGACGTCGGGGCGGAGGCATTTATTAAGGTTTTCGATGCTCTGGATTACCCCAATTTCCTTGACCTCGAAGGAAATCCGTGCTCAAAAGCATATGTCCATAATTTGGCACTCTTGGCTCAAGGAAAGACTTTTACAGAAGACATCCGAAGGGGCTTGCGTACACGTGAAGCAGATGAATTAAATATATCTGGGATGAACTACAACAAACTGGACCCTCGCCTGGTAAATTTTTATGTACAAAACGTGGATGGTTTGGAAAGACTGATTCTTTCTGGGTGTTCACTGGGGGACGCTGGAGCTGGGGCGATTGGAGCATTGATCAGCCAAAGCACTCTGACTCATCTGGATTTCAGCGACAATGGTATATCTGACGTGGGACTTGCACAGTTTATTGAATCCTCCCATCTTCAGTCTCATCCAACAATTTCGTCACTGTCTTTTGCCAAAAATATTCGTATTGGTAATTATGCAGCACAAACTTTGCCAAAAACGCTTTTTGAAAAGAATGGCAAAATTACCTTTTTTGACTTGAATGAAACGTCTGTGACATCCAAAGTACGGTCGATTATTAACCATGAATGTGAGCTTAATAAGCAACCCCATTCCTTGAAGCAAGCGGTGGTTGGAATTCGGACCAACAATCCATCATGTACAGTAGTAAACCTTCAGTGGGAAGAGGGGTTGGAGAAAGCGGCATATTTCATTTCCCCTGTCCTAAGGTACTCGACAAATTTGTTGGAACTGAATCTGGGGAACTGTGGCTTTGGTGACAAAGGCTTGGGACTTTTGGCGGAGGCGCTGAGACTTAATTTCCATATTCGGGTCATTGCATTTCCAAACAATGGTATCACTTCTAAAGGAGCCATTACACTTTTTCAGTGCATTGTACAGCATGCTTCTCTGGAGGAAGTTAACCTTGCGGGAAATCGAATCAATGATGAAGCAGCTCTTTCGCTTTTGAACACGCTTCGGGCCAATGATAAGATAAAGAATGTCAACGTCACCAACAATTTTATTGGTAATGATTACCTAAATGAAGTGGAAGGTTTGCTTCTTATTAACCAATCACCTAAAATCATTCGAAAGCTTGTTGTTGAAATTGAATCAAATGAGCCAAGTTTGAAATCGATTTCATTGTCAGGAGGACCAGATGAAGGATATTACAATGATGCCTCAGTGAGGTTGCTTTGTCAGGCGTTGGTATTAAATACGACGGTGACTTCTTTGAATTTGTCCAAGAATGTGATTGCCGACACAGGGGCTGCCTCTATAGCTGAAATGCTGATGTCCAACACTTGTATCACCCATTTGAACCTTTCAGATAATTCTATATCAAATCGTGGCGCTCAACGTCTCTGCGCTGCTCTTCGTACGAATAATGCGCTCCAGGACTTGGATTTATCCAACAACGCGATTTACGATGAAGGAGTAGAAGGATTTCCTGAAATGTTGAAATACAATGATCGTCTCATTCGGGTTGTGTTGGACAAAACAGGAGTTACGAAAGATATGTACACTAAGGTGGTTGAAGCGGCAGACCTCAACAAGGAACCCAAATGCCTTAAAGATGCGGTGTACAGACTACAAGGTGGAGATGAATCCTTACGAAAAGTGGATCTGCGACGAGAAAATTGTCCGCGTCCGCTTGATGATGCTTCTATCGAAACACTTTGTGTTCATTTGCGAGGAAGATCATTTGTGGAAAGTTTGCTTCTTCAAGGCAATAAAATTGGAACTAAAGGATGCCAATCTCTTGCTGCGCTTCTTGCGGAAGAAGGTTGTGGTATTCTTTCACTGGATTTGTCATTTAATCCTGTGAATGATGAGAGCCTCCAGGAATTATCCAAGGCTTTATTGTCACCACATATCAAGTTGGATACACTTAAGCTTGTTGGAACTGAAGTGACTTCTGCTGGAGTTAATGCCCTGATTGAGATATTGAAAACAAACACTTCACTTCAACAGGTGTTTACTCCCGAAAGTGTTTCGGCAGATGTCTTTTGCGCAATGAATCGTGAGCTTATGGTGAACGTTCAGCCAAAGTCACTGAAGCCTCTCTTGGCAAGGATTGAAGCCAATGAGGATATCCCAGAGGTCATATTTAAGGATCCTGAAGTACCTTTTACAGACTCAGCTTGTCAACTACTTTCTGCGTCGCTAGTGAAAAATACCCACATTGTATCGCTTGATTTATCGCATAATAAGTTGACGTGCGAAAGTATGCCTTTTCTTCTGGAAGCTCTCTCTCGATCCCCATCGATTATACATGTGAATCTGTCAGATAACCGTGTTGGGGTTAAAGGGGGAAAGGATCTTGTTCTATTCTTACAAGAGCATCACCATGTCCTTACCCTCAATCTGGAGGGTAACGAAATCCCCGAAGAGACTGTAAATGCAATCAATGAATTATTGTCCCTAAATGCAGGCTCAATTAAATTGAAAAAGATACTTCTCCGATTCAGAGGCGGCAAATTCCGTGATGAAATGATTAACCTGAATGGACAGGATGAAACCTACAAGCTGAACGACAATGACGTTCGTCTTTTGTGTGACGTTCTGGCGGACTCTCCTACATTACGTGCCGTTGATCTTGGATTGAACCAGATAACCGATCTTGGGTGTGAGATGATTGCGGATTTGCTACGGCGCAATCGAAAAATTGAGGCTCTCTACTTGGATTATAATCCCATCGGGGAGGCTGGTGGCGAGGCTCTGTATAATGCTTTGAAAGTGAATCACCAGCTTCATACTCTGTTTTTGGAGGGTTCCAACGTGCCTGAGGAGATATGGGAAGAACTTTTGGGTCTTCTGCATGTTAATGAAACTCCACTCAAGGAGAGAATTAACATGCGAGGGCTGCCGCTGGACAACGTTGATGACCACACACAATTTAAAAGCACAGATTACGCCGCTGCCCAGGAGGAAAAGGTTGGAAGGGACGCCCTCTGCCTCTACGAAGATGGTAACAAGCCTCTTCTTCTGAAGAGCTGATTGGAGGGAAGGCAAGACGGCAACAATATAAAAAAAAAGTAAATGAGCTTGCTCTCTCTTCTCCTTCCTTTTTCCTTCTCATCAATGTGCTTGTATTATGTATTGAGTATGTATGTGAGTTCCTGCCTGTGTAAGCGGTGGGATACATTTTTTTAAAAGTCCATTTTGATGTACTTCCAATATTTCTTAAAGAGCTCCAGCGGACAAAGAAACTACAAAAAAAAAAAAGTGAAAAAATGAAACGCATGTAAAACAAAGTCGGATGTAAATGCAAGACGCGCCAAGAGTGTGTTTGCTTTTTTTTTTTTGTTTCTCATTCCCTATCTTTTTGGAACATACACTTTGGCTTGTCCGCTTGTTATGGTTTTTCTTCCTGTAAGAAGAAAAAATGAAAAGGAAAACAGTGGAACAATTCCCCATGAAACACTTCAGCCTCTTCATTTTTTTTTCTTAGGAAATGAATCTTCAGCTAATTATAAATATATACACAAAAAAAATGGGCCCATTATGATTCTCTCATTGCCTGCCTGCGCCTGCTGGCCCACACTTGGCCCAATGCCTCCTCTGTTTTCTCTGTTGGAGAACAGTCGAGTGGATTTATCACACACTGTCCCATTTCTTTTGTCTTTATTTTATTTTCTTTCTCTGTGTCTAGGTGACTTATGTGTCAATGTCTTTTAGCCTGCCAAAAGCATTAATGTCCGTGGCTCCAGAGCCCAAAGCGGGGAGAGTTGTGGTGGAGAAACGACAATTACGCCGGGACGAAGATGGGGGTTTTGCGCAACAAGCGAACGAGCTAGAAGACATCTTGGAGGGGCAGCAAAGACGCATCCAGGCGCTGCAAGCCAACATAACAGTGGAAGTAGAATGCCATGAACGTTCTTGCCGCGCCCAACTTGTATGTGAAAAAGAAAACCTTGAGTCGGAATTGGCATGTCTCGCTGGAGAGCTAGATATCCTTTCAGCGCGTTGGCGGGAATTGCGTCAGGTGAGCGACCATGCATTTCAGTGGGGTGAGATGTGGTCCAGGTGTGTCGAAGCTAGGTCTCGCATCTGCGCTCTCAAGGAGGAAATTGAGGAGGGCGAAAAACAGCGGGAGTCCATTCAAACCCTGATGAACAATCGACAGGAACGATTACATACTGTGCGAAGGGAACTTCGCCAAGTACGACAGCAGGTGAGGTGGTTGCTAGAATGTCAAGCTGCAGATGAGCAGGCGTTTAGGAATCGCATTCGCGAGGAAGAGGATTATCTTCGGCGGCTGGTGGAGGCGCGTAATGAAGTGGAAACCGAATCTGCACAGTTAACAGAGACGGAGAAGCTGGAGTCATCGCCGTTGCAGGATGACGTGAATGCATTGGAGGCGTACCTCAAGGAGATACAGGCTGACACTCAAAAGCTTCAGCTTCAGTGCCGCGACCTTCAAGACGAAACAGAGAGGGCGAATAAGAATGCAACTGAATCCTCGCAAAATGAGGTGACGACTTTGGCGTACCAACGAGCTTTGGAAAGTTACGATCAACAGATGATGCACTTCTTGAATGAGGAGATGCAATCCGCACGACGTCAAGGTGTAACACCGCTGTTGTTGCAATCAAATAAACGACAGTGGCTGCAAAACTACCTTATTGTATGGAATCGTTTGTGTCAGCAGTACGCTGGACTGCGCCAAGAAGCAAGGATGTCTACTGAAAGCCCTCTGACAGAAGTAAGACAAAAAATTGAAACTGCAAAGCGAGAGCTTGGGGCGATCAGAGGTGCCCCAGGTGAAGCTACAAGAGAACGCCAAACCGCCTTTTTGGCCCTTGAACATCTGGTTTACTTGCTACGCACTGGCCAGAAAATGGAGTCAGAGCTTCTGCGTCGCATTGAGGAGACCGCGAAAGGTATTGGCGAGAGCCCCGAGGCATACACCTCTCTTGCAGGTGTGAACGGCTATGCTGATTTCACGGAGGAGGAGGAAGACGAAACCGTGATGCCGAGTGAGTCAACCGAACTGATGTTTAAGCCAATTCCAGAGGAAAGTCCTGACTTGGCTCTGGATGAGATGCGGAGCCTCTCTGACTTTTCCCCTGAGGACTTGAAAAGGGAGGAGGCGGTTCAACAAACTACACATCGATCTCGAGGGAATTTACAGGAGTTTCTTCACCAGAAGTCCCTCTTCCTGGGAGAACACGCCACGCAAGCCCACGTACCACTGCGACGTGCGGTGACAAAGAGCTCCCCCAGTAATGTGGAAGGGGCGTTGAGTCAGTGCCTTGAGAAGATGCTGGAGGAAAGTGTACATTACGTGAAGCGCCAGAAGCAAGCGGGAGCGCAGGATCAAAGAGAACTTTCTCATGAATTTCTTCGCGCAGATGCAGAATTTGCAGCAGAGGCCCAGGAGTTGCAGACGCGGGTGCGACAAATTGTTGCTGAACGCCAGAAATCGTCTTTGGCTTATTCTTCAGGTGGGTAAAGCGAACCACTCCACGCACCCTGCTGCTTTTACTTCCTCCCTCGCCTGAGCGGCGCAACATATTCTTATTGAAGGTGTGCAACTGCCATCTAATCTTGTGAGTGCTTCATTGGTGCTTCAAGCAAAGTACTTTTTGCAGTGTGCCGTTCGCGGGGCCACCGCCACGATGCTGACACCTGGGTGCGTGATCCCCACAGTGCGGCATCTTTTTCTCACAAGAGATCTTGCCAGGCTCTGCGCACGCGATGTGAGCAGAGAGGAGGCGGTAGGATCGAAGGACGTAGATGTCACCGCGAAGTTGACGGACGTGCGTGACGTCTGTCTGTGGACGAATGAGGCTCTCACATCCGCCAAGCTGCGGGCGGAGCTGTCGTTCACCGTTGCGCTCTCCACAGTGAGAACGCAGAGGGCCTGTTGGGCTGTTCAAACTGACAACGCTGAAAGTCGAGCATTTTGGGCGTAAGTCTTTGCCTGGGTGATCAATGAGTCGGAACTCAGCAACGAGGCCGCAATTATCGTGCGCTTGGGAGGGGAAAGCAAAATTTTCCTCTTGGATGCGGCAGAAACAGCAACCGATAACTTTGAGCCCAACAACCGCCATGGATTCTATGTGCAAGTGGATGAGAAATGATGAGGGCGCCTGGGTTTAAAATTTGCCGTCTTTCTTTGTCCGTATTGCACACGCGTGTCCCTATCGCTATCGTTGTGTGTTTTTATCTATTTATTTTTATTTTTGCTTTTATAGCAGTCGACTAACCTTAGCCTCATCCCTTCAATTGTTAGCACGCACAAAGGAACGCATGCTCCGCGTCTGGAGATATGTATGTATATATATATATATATATACTTTTGCTTCTTTCTTCTTATTGCTGCCTCCACCTCCTCCCTTTTTGGTGTTAGACTGCTTTGTTGTTCTGGGCGAGGGCGTGCTAGGGAGCGAGCGCCAGCGAGGATGTGTAGTCAGAAGGCACATCAACCCCTTTTTGTCCTTAAACAGCATAGCAGCGCTGTCATGACCTGTGCCATGGATGAGCAGCAGGTGTTTACACGGCTTTTGCTGAGCGGTGATGGCGACGGCGTTGTCAAGTTGTGGGATCTTGAGCTGCGCGCACCTTTGCTGTCGTTTCACGCGGTCAACAGGGCCTCTTTGGCTGCGGAGACCAACATCCAAGGGGAGGCGACGCCTGCCTTTTTTGCGAACACTGGTGTACTAAAGGTTGGATTCCTCACTTTTCAGGGGGTGGACGCCGCGGCAAGCGGGGAGGGGGAGACTATCTGTTTCTACACCCAATGCAGGAATCGGCACGTTTACGTTTGGAGAGCCGTTTTGCGCTGCGATGACGAGGATGATGACGTTGAGGAGCTTGATGCGACCGAAGTTGGAGGGGCGTCTGTGGAGTTGTTGCACACTATCAACGTGCCACAGCATGGATTTTGTGCCGTGCCTTGTGTTTCCGTCTCTTGCAGGGAGCTGCAGTTGGCGATTCCGCACGACACGGATGGAATGATCAGTTTGTGGAGTATCGGTTTACTTGACGGCGACGGAGCGAATCGTGTGGGTGTGTGCGTGAGATGCAGCAAAACATTTTCGGCATCTGGGGTGGGGGCAAGGTGTGGGATGGTTATGTGTATCAACTACAGGGACAGTGCTCATTTTGCTGTCGCGTTTGAGAGTGGACATGTGACACTGAATAACGTCGCTGGAGGGCGGCTTGCCATCGTTCGCGCCTTTGCAGAAACGGCGTTAACGTGTGTGTGGTCTGGCAGCGTCCTCCTTTGTACCTCTGCGGATGGACAACTCCACTGCTACGCTGTTTTGAGCCAAGAGGATGCGCAGCGCGGCACTCACTGCAGCGAGGCAGATGACATCATGTCTCTTGCCATACAGTGGGAGGTCTCCCTACGCAAGGGCTTAGGTAGCGTGGCGCTGCAGCGACACTTGGCTGTGGTAGGGTCATGGGATCACACGATGCGTCTGTATGATGAGGGTTCGGGACGCGTCGTATCCATCTTGACATACCACAGTGGCCCTGTCAATGAAGTCGCTCTGGTGCCTGCGTCGTCGGCGGAGCGTGCCGCGTTTGGGTATGACGTGCGACGCCCACGCTGGTGCGGTGCAGCAAACGGCAAGACCAAGCAAGAGGAAGACTCCGTCTATCTTTTTGCCTCGGCCAGCGGAGATTTCACGATTGCCATCTGGCGGCTGGATTTTAGGCTGCTGCGTGCGGCGGAGGTGAGTGCTGTGTGACGAACGAGGGGCAAGAGTCAGTGCTCACAAGTCAACGATGCCCTGCATTGTATGAGTTCCTCTGTGTGTGTGTGTGTGTGTGTGTGTCGTTTTTGTTATTTCTGTCGCCCCCTTTAAGTCTGTGCTTGTGTAAAAGATTCTTTTGGAGTTTCCGCGCCGCAGCGAAGGCGTTTTCGCTGGTAGGCACAAGACCGACATGCCGAACAGGCGTGGGTTCATGGCGGAACACTTTATGCTGCCTCGGGGGTTTGAGTCTGTGGGGCCAGAGGAGCATGACAGAGTTCTGCTTTCACTTCCCCTTCTTTTCTTTCATCTTCGTCTTTTTTTCTTTTCTTACAGCACGTTTTGGATGTGATCGAAACCACAGCAACAACCAACAAAAGTAAAAGGTGGGTGACCTCATCGCAACTATTGACGGTGTTTCTCTACGGAAACCAGACGGAATAAAAGAAG